TAGAAGCTTCCTTCTAGAAGCTTACGTAAACACGTAAACCTATATTTTAAAACCGCAGATCTCGTTATTGTCGTTTGTTATTTAGGTAAACAAATTTTATATATCTTACTGTCACTATGCTTTTTGCTCGTATTTGTTTTGTAGCAGTGTGAAGTGTTTTGATTGGTCACTTTTTTTGCTTTTATGTTCTTGGAAATTTTCTAACTTTTAATTTGGCTCATAGTTAATTACATAATGAGACAAGAAACATAGAATACAATAAAAAATCAACTGTAAACTTTCAATAGTCAGTCAACGTTTTATTTTCAATGATCTTCTTTATAGATTGTTCCATTGGTTCATTTTTTTCGTTTGAAAGTAAGAAATGTGAAAAATGTCCCATCAATACATATCAACCATACCCAAAACAAACTCGTTGTCTTACCTGTAATGATGGTAAAGGTACCATTAATGTTGGAGCAGTGAGTGAACGAGAATGTATAAAAGGTAATTTTTAGCATCATTAGTAATATTTCTGTTTAAAAAATCAATGCACTATAAACATATTTTTGTTTTTATAATTTCCTTAGTTTTTCTAATAAAAGAAAAAATCTCCAATGTAAAAACTTGTACATACCTGGTTTGCAAGACTACATTTGATAATGCATTGATATGTCGTACGTTATTTAGTAAAAATCCGTATTTCTTGCACGTCTTTCAACGCACTATTCTGGTACGATGGAAATAAAGACACTGCTTGTTTTTATTTTTCTTTATTAATTTACGAAGCAGTAGTTTGAAACTATTTATTCATGATTTTTTTATTATCGTGTATCTGGAGTATTTGCGTTAATTTTAACTGTTGTTATCTATAACCACATCAATGAAACAATTTGACAAAATACTAAAACAACAAAGATAAACTAAAACCATGTATACTAGAACAAGACTGTATAAAAGGCAATTTTTAGCATTGTTAGTTACACTTCAGTATTGAAAAATCAATTTATTTTATAGTTATTATATTAACAAGTTTTTGCTGTCGCTACTTGGTGTTTCACTCCATAGGGCGATCTTTAAGAAACTGACAGATAATTTATTATTCACTGTATATGAATAGTTTATGAGGTGTTAGGTTATATAACAGCATGGACTACAATAAAGCATGCCTGGATTACCAGTCTTTAAATCTATATATAAATACTGTAGAAAAAAATGAGTTTATCCGGATTTTTTGTATAAGTTATTTATTAATGGAGGATTGAGATAATTGGATGATGTGGAATGCGTTGTTATGGGCTTGGGTGTATTGTGAATAGGATTGGTGTTAATATATATTATTACCGTGAGTTGCTATGGTTTTAGTGTCGTTAGTAGATTTTTGTCCTTTTTCTTTAGTTGTGAATATATACGATAGAAATGTCAATATGGCTGTTTATTGTGTCGTTGTCTTTACTCTACCAAGCGTCTTCAAATTTGCGTGCGTGTTTTGTCTGTGCGCGTCCGAGTACTTTAGTTTCTGTCCAATCCTTTGCGTGGTTATTTGCAAACGTATGTTCTGCAGGTAGTGAGTTTGGGTGTTGTCGTTTTATGGCGTTTTTGTGTTCTGTGAGTCTTGTCTCGATTTTCTTCGATTTTTGTCCTATATGTATTGTTTTGACCAATTTTGAAATGGTATCATGTAGATTGCGTTGGTTGTATCGTGAATTGTTGTCTTGTCTTAACTATTGGTAAAATATTATTTGAGTTTTTGCGCTGGTTTGTGGGCAACGTTTACATTGTCCAAGAAGTCATGCAGTCATTTTTGATTTTCCGTTTATGTATTCATGGTAATGTGTAATATCATGCAACAACTGCATGACTTCTTGGACATGTGTAATATCATGCAACAACTGCATGATATTGTCTATGGTATGAGTTCTGTAAGGAGAATTCAGTGGAGAGGAAAAGGTTGTTGGTGTTTATTTAAAGTAGCATTCTTATTAAATATACTAGCCGCTGACCATATACCAAATATTGTGACATGAACAAAACGTTCGGTATACGTATTTCTAGTGAGGTTAATTTTGTTGAGCTATCTTACGTAAAACTCGTATTTTTTTAAATAGAATAAATCGTTCTGAACTATTCGCGATCCATGGACACATTCAACAAAGGTTGACTAAGTCTAAGATGTCATTTTTGTCAATTTGTGTCCGTGGCTCGCCAAGATTTGTCGTTTGTGAATAGTTTGTTTGTAATTCTTTGTCTGTGTCTAGTGGTGTGGATGTGAAGAAAAATGTGTCGTCGTAAGATATCATGATTGTGTGTGGTTGTAGTTTAACGGTGTCAATATTCGCGAGGAAGGTGGTGGCGTTTTTGATGGTGTGAGGTGAACTTTTGACTATAGGATAAAGAATGTTAGAGAGATATTTTGATATTTCATATGTAGGTGATCCTGGAAGAAGTACGATTTTTTATAAATAATTTAGCTATTTCTTTGTTTTTCTATTAATAAGATAAGAATAATCCGTAAAAAGTTGTACCTACACCTTGTTTGCATGGCTAGATTTGATAATGCACTTATATTCATAGGCCTATAGAGTAAAAATCCAAATTTCTTCCACGTCTTTCAACGCTCCATTCTGGTACGATGGAAATAAAGACAGTGCATGTTGTTGATTTTTTTTATCAATTTTATGGAGCAGTAGTTTGAATTTATTTACATATAATTTTTCAATCATTGATTATCACAAATATCAGCGTTGATTTGTAGCATGGTTATTTATATATAACACGTCTACGAAATATTTTAACAAATTACTAGTCTAGCATATACCCCCAAATATATCACATTTAAATTCTATGTCGTAAATTTGTATTTAGGTTAGAAAAGTAGATAAAGTAAATTTATATATATCCTTTTCTTCAAAATACTTGTAATAATTACTAAGACAGTCCACATAACATTTCATAAAACGCAATTTTAATATTCATAATCTACAATTCGACATATTTTTTATTGTAAAATTACCATGGGTTATACAAAGATATTATTTTATAGAATGATCTTCAGTCTTGCTGGAAGAACTTTTAGTCATTTAGTTTTTGCGGAAAAATTCATGATAAATTTAGTGAATATTAAAGATATCTTGTGTGTCCACGACTTCAGAGACTGGAAATTTTTTACACAACTTCGAGTTTTTCTGCTGAACTTTCAGCAAACGTTGCTAAAATACAAACAAGAATTGCTGATATGATAAAAAAGTAAAATTATTTGTATGTTTATAAGTTTGATGCTTTTACCATATGAACATGCTGTGAAACATAATGTTGCATGCACTGCATAAATAGTTGTGAAAATTTACGCGTAAATTATTTGAATAAAATCATTTCAATTAACCCAGAATTTTGAGATTTGTTAATACAAAAATACGGTAAATACTTAACTTACGTTTTTGAGTTTAAAATATTCAAAATTTCAGGTAATTCAATCGTTTACACAACTTTTTGTGTTGAAAGTGCACATATTTCTTTTAGTAAACAATTTGCTCATTTTTCAGTAAATTGTTAGACACAAAATCTAGCAGTTCGTTAAGGTGAAGAGTTGTGCAACTAAGACTAGTTTTACAAAGTTTTGTGATAAATGTAATGAAATTAATTTTTAAGTTAAGTCATAAAATATATGTTATTTACCGGATGGGAGGTCTGTACGGAAAAAATAGTTTCACGAGGTCTCAAAAACCTAGTAATCCACAAATATAATCGATACATGTTATCTTTAACCTGACCACTCCTGATAATGCTTTTGGTAAGAATTTGTTTATGCTTTTTTGCAAAGTGTTTTGCATGCTCACTCTACTACTTTTTATGTTTCTCGAAAATTTTCACACTTCTAATAAGTTTTATAATTAATTTACATAATATGATAACGAAAATATTGAACACACTAAATATTTTACATTTCTTTAAAATAACTTAACTAATATTTTCAAGTCAGTGCTTCTTTTTCAATCATCATCTTTATAGATTGTTTTATTAGTTCGTGTTGTTGTTTTTATTATTTCCATTTTCTTTACAACTCTAAGATTGCACTTTCAAATCAATCTCTTGGATATTTCATTCAGCTCGCTACTAATTCCTGCCCACTATCGTTAAATACTCTCCTGCTTTGCTTTTATTTGTAACAATTTTCAATCCCCAATCACGCCATTTGAAGATGCTTAACCGTTTTTCATCGGTGTTGCCATTTTGAGTGTATCAAAGGTGATAAATGCTTTCTCAACTATACCCTGTGTATTTACACTAAAAAAATAATGATTCTTTAACCAGAAACTTTAAAATGTTGATGCATTTTTGTAGACTGCAATCCGGGATACATGTACAGTTTGAACCAATCTGATTGTATTCTTTGTCCCCAAAACACGTATCAACCAATGAAAGGACAGTTTCAATGCTATCAGTGTCCAAATGGTACAATGACGTATACCGATGATCCTCACGTTAATATAACCGATTGTAAAGAAGGTATGTTTTCCAACCTCAGCATTTTATGGATCTATTGTTGATAGTATCTACAACTTTTTGTTCAGAATGTCGTCCAGGTCATTATTTTAATTTATTCATGTGTTCGAGTCCCGTTGAGTCAGCTGAATTTTTCAGGTTCATGAGACAATTGCTTAAATTATCCAGCAAAGTGCGAAGATCATATCTTCATTTAATCATATCTTCATTTAATTATATCTTCATTTAATCATATCTTCATTTAATTTTAATCTTTTTTCTGTTGGTTCATTTTACCTGTTTTAAACCAACAAATATGAATATTGTCCAATTAGTTTTGATAAACTACATTTTGGTCAAATGCGATGCACTCCCTCTCGCAGTGGTACAGTTACATTCGAAAATTGTAAATTCAGCCATCTTGACTGTATTAAAGGTTATAAAGGTTTCATCAACTACACCCCTGTATTATGTATATGTACACTTACTATATAATGACTCATTAACTTGTAATTTTAAAAAACTGCTGTTTTTTGTAGACTGCAATCCAGGATACATGTACAATTTCTACCAATCAGATTGTGTTCCTTGTCCAAAAAACACATATCAACCAATGAAAGGACAGGTTCAATGTAACCAATGTCCACATGGTACAATTACGTACACAGATGATCCACACGTCAATATATCCCACTGTAAAGAAGGTATGTTAATCTTTAGTACTTCATAAATCTAATGTTGGTATTGTCAATAATTAATTTAATTTGTTTTTTAGAATGTCGTCCAGGTTATTATTTTAATTTATCAGAAATGGTTTGTACAAAATGTCCACGAAACTCGACACAAGAGAACAAAGGACAGATCACATGTGACGCGTGTCCAAAAAATCTGCCAATTACAGAGAAGGAGGGAACAGTTTTTCAATCAGATTGTATTCAAAGTAAGTTGACGTTTTTGAAACACATCAAAATAATTCGGTCTAATAAAACCCTTCTCGACTTTAGATTGCAATGCAGGTTCCTTTTTTAACAAAACGACTTTAAATTGTACGAAATGTAAAAGAAATAGTTATCAACCACAGACAGGAAAAACAAAATGTTTTACTTGTGGAATGAACAAGATCACCATAGAAACTGCAGCTATTGACAAGAGACAATGCATTGAAGGTAGGTTGAATAGTAAAAATGAAGTTTTTAAATTATTTTACTGGTGCGAAAAAACTATTAAACTCGATTAAACTACTGCACCTGTCGTCTGTTATTAAATATTTTGCTAAAAATACCTTCTTGTCCAATCTATATTAGTATCATGTGCTCCTATGGATTTTCTATTCTCTCCAGGTTCTTCACGCAAATTTATCGGAAAACTTAAAAAGACTGTTATTCCCTATGCAACATCGGCAATTTTGTTTCTGTTTTGTATTCTCTTGTTGTGTTATCTCCTTAGATGGCGGATGAAGAAAAACAAAAAAATGGTGAGTAAAAAATAAGCAAAAACTATCGACATTTGTCGTTGAAGCAGTAAATAAATTTTAAACGGTGTTTAAAACCCGACACCGATGATCATTAGGAAGTATTCAATGCACAGAAATTTTACTGCAACTTTGATATACTATTTAGACGAGATCTGGCAATGGCCGACCAATAAACCAACGAAATCGCATCTTAAATCAAGGTATAGTAACTTCCTTATTCAATAAATTCATGATTATTTTTCCACAAAAGGATTTATCAGCTATTCAAATAACATCGATATTATATATGCATACTGCATATAATAACAAGTTATACATATACAAAAAATCTTTTAGTTGAACAAAAAAATCAATATACGTTTACATTGTCCTTTTAAATTTTGCGTTAAAAACGTTACTGAAAAATACATTATAGTAACTGTTACTTTTGATGTCATAAAAGCTTTATGAAAATGTTATGTTTATAGAAATCACAAATTGTAACACTTATTAAAATAGTATTCATGTAAATTTAAATGTCATTGAAATGAAACGGCACTTTTCCATCTCTTGTCATAGATCACAACTCTGAAACCAATTTAAATGATCTGACAAACGTATCTGGCAATGAATTTGTGCTCCAGTCTCGTTCACATCAAAGTCTGAATCACGTGTATGAAGAACCGAGATGGGAACCCGAAAATCATTCCAGTGTTGTGAAAATCAGCTTTGAACCTCGTCCTCCCCGATATGAGGAACCTATTAATGTAACCTTTCACAAGTCACCACAGAACCAGAGTGTTCATCAATGCGAGAATTTTTCTGTCCGTGATTCAATGATTAATGAAGATAATGGTGAACGATATACATCTTTGATATTATCCCCAGGCTGTAGAAATGACTTGAAAAATAATGACTATCAACCACTGCTGAAGAATGGTAATGTAACAAATGGGGAACGTGTTGATCAATACCAAAATTCTATTGTCCGTGATTCAATGATTAATGAAGACAATGGTGAACGATATACATCTTTGATATTACCCCCAGGCTGTAGAAATGACTTAGAAAATAATGTCTATCAACCACTGCTGAAGAATGGTAATGTAACAAATGGTGAAAGTGTTGATCAATACCAAAATTCTTTTGTCAGTGATTTGATGATTGATGAGGAGAAAGGTGAGCATTATAAATCTTTGATAAAATTTACAGGAAGTAGAAATGATACAGAAAATAACGGTTATCAATCATTGATGAAGAATGATAATGTAACAAATGGTAAAAGTGTTGATGAATAATGAAATTCTTCCGTCAGTAATTCGATGATCAAGACAAAGGCGAGAAATATTTGACTATTATTGAATGAGACTGAACATTATTCTACACCGACATCATTGTTTGTTTTATTAAACAATAATATATGTAAAAGTCTTCAAACTATTTTTGTATGGAAGCCAATAAGTTTTTTGTGATTTTACAGTAAATAATCCTAATGGTTTGCTTTCGTCTTCTTCGTAAAAAACTCATTGAAAAATCTCCTGACTAACAGTGTAAAGCGTAATTTACACGAGCAAAGTTTCTCTGGCAAAGTTATATGCCGCTGGACTATATCCATGTAAATGAGTAAAATGTCTATTTGCTAAAGTTTTCTTTGACAAAGATTATTTTCTCGTGTCTATGGGATAGTTTGTTCATTGGCTGCAGTAGCGTCGCCAGAGAGATAAGCGATATTCATATGTTCATGTTTTAGTCACTAAGAAACAATTGACTTTAAAAGAACTTAATAAAGAAAAACATAAATATATGAATAAAATCCTCTTCGCCTATGGAGCTGCAGACGCCATTGTTTGCTTGTTTTGCAATTGATGCAATGATAGCAAAAATATGGGAATTGATTTTCAAAACGCAAATGTATACGTTCGTGTTTTATCGCAACTTTTCTTTTGCTACACAAATGTGGAAATAAGCAAAGAAAATAAAGAGGATTTTGGATACGGCTGTGGTCTACTCAAAATCGTAGGCATTTACAAACTAACCTTGTGCGTGAATCGGCGTAACTGATTCTGAAAGCTTCAAAAAATTTTCGGTAAGGTGAAGAGTTTAAAATGCATTCTAATCACAAGGAAAGACATAAATATATGAATAAAAAACCCCTCGCTCATGGAGCTGGCGACACCACTGGTTGCTTGTTATGCAATTGATGCAGGTATAGCAAAAATATTGGAATTGATTTTCAAATTTGACACACTTATTGTGTAGATAATGCTTAAATTCTGATTGTCTTTGTCAGAGATACAATCGTGTAAATAACACAAATCCGTTGTCCATTGAAAACCGTAGTATTTCTTGTGGCATCTGATGCAGTTGATACACGAGGTAGCTACAACTTGCTCCAAGGTTGCATAAATTAACGTTAATTTCCTGTGCGCACTTATGTAGCGGATACATAATATGAACATTAGGCACGCCACTATCCGCTATCATACATTTGTCATTCATGCCTCACTATCTTTTATTAAAATTATTAAACAATTATATTGATATAAACGTTCTATTTTTTTTAATTCTTCTTACCCATATGTGAAGCTTATGTGTTCAAAAGAACAAAATGCTTTGTTTACGATATTTTTTAGCGCAAAATTCCACCTATTAAAATAATAAGGCAACGAATAGTAAAATGCAAAGATGTTTGGTGAATATACACGCATAGTACAATTTGCATCAGTTGATGAACAAGTCCAGTCCGGAAAGTTTACATATTGACTGACTGACTCGTATGAATTTTCGTCACTCACCACAATACTGCAAAGTTCCCATGGAAACTTTGCCTTAAAAACGAGAAAGAAGAAACTTTCAGATTCATAATTGCATGCATGATGAGGTAAAATAAGGAAACTTTACAGGTTACATTTAAGCCACGAAATTTTTGCCCAACAAGATCAGTTGGTTTCCTTAATGTTCCACATATATCACACCAGAGGCTTGCCTTTATTAACTGACTAACAGATCATTTACAGTCATTCTTCCTAGTTTTATGCTTTCAAGCATTTAATGTGTACGATTGAATTAAATGATTATTGATATTTTCCATGCATCTTCGGAGTAGCTCTATTTTCATTGCAAGTCGGAGACAAAGTAACAAAAATGACGAAAGATTTTTTTCCGTCATTTGTTTCATTCCACTAAAATGACATGACGTCATATTTGGAAATATTTACTTTTTCCCATCGGCTTGACTTCTCTGCATTCACGATAAGGTCATATATAATATTAATGCATAGTTTTCGTGATGAATGGAAGATTCTTTTTTTGTTCGTACTTTCATCTTGTTTGTTAACATTTTGGTGACAGCAAAGGTGTACAGAGCTAGTCTCAATTGTAGGTGGGAGGTTGTGAGACTATTTCTCCAAAAAGTTTACTAAAAAATGAATACTTTTATTCGAAAAACGGTAAAATTATTCTGGTTAAATTACCCGCTAACAATCTGGACGTTTGGAGTGCAAGAGGCACCCTAAAACCAATAATTGTATAAAAGGAGATGCTCTAGTAGTAAAAAAGTATTTACAAACAGAATACAACAGTTTCTCCAAATGTCCTTATGTAAGTTTTGCCAAACACCAGCATTTGATTGTAAAAGCAGCTGAGTATGCTACATTGTGCATGGTAGATGTCTTCACAATGGTGAATTTGTTTCAGTGGGATCTTAGCTTTACTTTGCAAAATTTCCTCTTGTTTTCATCTTCAACGTCAGGACGAATAAATTTTTTGTTAATATCAAAAGCCTGGACAGGGCCGATATGGGCAGTTTTGGACAACTTTCTTATCTCCTACATGTTTTTACAAATCCAAAATAACATATTCTGCAAAACTGTTTACTTTTATATGTTTGTAGATGTAGATCGCCAAGGTTAGTATAGTCCTGAGAAGGACTGTTTTTGTTGTTGTTGACTGACATTTCGAAAACCTTAGCGGTAGTTATCTTAAGAGTTAAATGAGGAGTAAACGTCAGGTTAGCCGCATTTGTTATCTGGTTCTTACGTCATTGTATTGTGTGTACAGGAAATGTGTTGGTGTCAATTGTGTATTGTCAGTATGAATTAGAGTGAAGTGTAAGGTTTTTAGTTGTGATGTGTGATTTAGTTGTGTCGATCTGCAATCACATGACGTCATTTCTTCACAATGAACTCGAAAATATTTCAATATAAGAAATGACGTCATGTCATTTCATTGGTTGGGAACAAGTGAAAAACTCTGAATATCTTGCTGGAATAATGCTGTCGATATGCGTGGCACAACATGCGCGACGACAAAAACATCATGTACATTCCATATTCTGCGTTAATTTCTAAACGCATGCTTTACCCTTACACAACAGCTCGAGAGACTTAGGCCCTGTTTACATGAGATCGGAACGAAGTCAAACCCCTCTCAGCTCGTGTCGGTTATCGTATAATTTATAGTAGATGTTTACATGCGACCGGTACAAAAATAATTCAGAGCTGTCTGAAGTCGTACAGTCTGGTGAACCGATCCGACTGAGAGTTCAGAACGGTATGAATACAAACCGGCATCAATGTAAACTCAAATTAACTTTCAGAACGGGCTGAAATTGCAAAAATGCATGCGCACAAAAGCAAATTACACAAACAAAATGGCTAGCAAGTGAAAAAATAGCCTGCAAATAAGGCATTACGTCTAGGTATGCAGTTATGAGCCTTAGTAAGGGCCTTAGTAAAGGTCGTTAGCATAGTTTTCACTAACGGCATGAGCATGAACAAGAAAACAAAGCAAAGTATATTCTCCAGAAATTGGAGTAAACAAAATAAAAGGGACATTCTTTTCAATTTGCTTTTGTTCTTTACAATCAAGTTGATCTGCTTCTGCTTATTTTGATGTTGATGAATATGTCAGATGCTCCATTGCAAATTTTTTCTTTATGTTTTCTTTTGTCTTTGCTTATTTAAGAGAAAATAAAGCTTTAGTAAATCCCCCTTCGTTTACTTATAAAAGGTTATTTTAAAATGCAAATTTCTATGCTTAAACAGGTGATTGCAAGTAGCGTAGACCTTCCATACGTTGCTATTACAAGCACGACAATTAAAGTTTTAGTTTAAGCTGCATACAAAGTATGAATATCATGTCGATGCTGTTTTCATCTACAAACAGTTTCTTTAGTACAAGTTTTATTAATCATCGCTCATAAAGGACAGACGAGATAACAAAAATGAGCAAAGAAGAGAAGCATTCAATTCATATACTTTGTTTTTTTAAGACGCAATATGATGCTAGCTTGTACAGCTCTTTCCTTTCTTTAGGTAAGATAATGTAGATATCTGATGTCTCGTTTTATGATTATCCTGTTCACTCAAATGAAATCATTGGTTTTTCACTGAAAAAGAACGAACATTGACTTTGATTTTATTTTCTACATACGTACTGAATAATAGAATATTTTCATTGCTCGTCAAAGTGGCCATACTGTTAGCTTACTTCAAATTTCGACATTCAACAGAATGAAATCACTAGAAAAGTCTTTCCACTTAACTAGATGAGATTTTCTGCCAATATGGTGATCGATGAAAACACCTTATATCTGGTCATCATTAAAGATGTTTGTGACAATGCTAAGGGAAAAGTAAAATTAAAACGATTCACACAACAGTGAATTTTGATGTTTTTTATTGGTTGATCACCCGTTTTAATAAGTTAGTGACAAAAAAGTTGCCGACGCAAGGGAAAGACGATTTCTGTTACCACTCAACGACATAAATTGTGAAGCAGAAATGAGATAAGGGCGAAAGATTTATTTGTTTCTCAATTATTGTCGATATAACACTAGAACAAGAGGACTTGTTTTGGTAAACTTTCCCTCGAAGTCGGGTGTTTTTAATCGACTTGCCGAAGATACGTTTTAGTTGTTCATTATTTTGACATCCCCTGTTTTACAGATTCTACGTTTACTCCTTCAGGATCATTTCATTTTCCATGTTTTAACTTTCCTAATCGGCTAACCCCATCTGCTCATGGATATTCCAAATTTTAGAGCTAACATTTTTGGTTTTATAATCTTGACGGTATATGATAACAGTTTGACAGAATTTTTGAAAACACTTGCATGGAGGTTATCACTGTCCACTAATGAAATGCTTTATTTTGTTCATTTCCTTGTAGAGTCCACTGGAGAATTTTGTGGCTTGATTGAATATTGAAAAAAAAATATTGATACAAAGAAGTGAGAAAGAATATAGGAACCTTGATGATGATGATGATGTACACATTTAATATCAACGACAACTTTTTTGAAAATAGACATGTTTCGACTTCTCACGATGCCATCTTCAGTATGAGTGAAAATGGCATCACTCATACTGAAAATGGCATCATGAGATGTCGAAACATGTCTATTTTCAAAAAAGTTGTCGTTTTTATTAAATGTGTATTGGCAATAGTGCTTTTACGAAATGATGATGAAGTACATATTGAAAGATACAAGCACCGGTTAGAATGTATTTCAACTTATCTTCATAGAAAAGATTTACCTCAGAATTAACGTTTTCCTCACTCGACATCATGATTATCCAATACTTTATTTAATACCACTGACACAACTGACCTTCGTGAGAAACTACATCACATTTCTCAATCATCCCTACACTAGTCATTAGTCCTCTCACATGCACATTTTAGAATGACATGTGTTTGGTTTAAAATAAAGGTGGGCGATGTACCAGACAAATTTCCTGTCATTGCATTATAGGAAATGATCGCCACATGACAGTCTGTTTATTGAGGTCATGCAACGTAAGCAACGACTACGAATGAACCATCAAAATGAACACAATTAGCATTGTCGCAAAATTTTACCAAACATAAGTACAATTTTTGGCACTAGACATAAATTTTTGCAAAAATAAGTGTTATCGTAAACGATTCCACTAGACACAAACAAAATCTCCAAACCAGTTTCCTTGCACCAATATTCCTTTGAAATGCTAATACTGAAATGTTTTATCATTTAAATTTTCTTTGTTTCCGGCTTTCAGAGCGCAATTCTATTCATTATTAGTGAGGGTAATTGTAAACACACAATCAGGCAATATTTTTTCTGGATAGAAGTCAGTTCCGATTTTTTCGTGAGGACAAAATAGCATCTTACTTATATTGAGTTAAAACAAAACATAGACTAATCATGATGACAAAAATAACATCAGACAAGCTAACCCTGCTTTTTGTTATGCAAAATCGAAAAATTGCTGTAAAAAGCAGAGAGGCCCTATTCAATTTATTTTAGCAGAGCAATCGGTTCAAACTTGTTTTGAAAGAGAAAACAGAGAGGTATAAATACAATAATCCAGTTTGGTTAATTCCGGTTGACTGGTGTTCAAACTTTGTCGTCAGTACTGTCTGTACTGTCATTGTTTTTACATCACTTTGTAAATATGTCACAAATAACTTTTTGTCTTTGTGAAATTCTCTTCTTTTAAATGCTTTTATACAGCGTTAACGCTTGGTATCCTCTTAAAGCCCATCCAGTTGGCGTGTTTTTATGATGTTCTTGTTTAAATTCATTATAAGATTAATTTTCCCGCCTGAAAAATCCATGTATTAATTTATATTTCAACTAAAGATTATTTTCCATGTTTTAGTTGTTGTATTATGTATCCTGTGTTTTACATATTCCGCATTATATTCTTTAAGGATTGTTCAACTTTCAATTTTTAACCTTCCTCCCCCCCTTCCTTACCCCTTACTGACTTTCCACAATCCAAAAATAGTTTTTATGATGTTCTCGTTTAAATTCATTATAAGATTATCTTTCCCTCCGGGAAAATCTATCGTCACTGTAATAATTTATATTTCAGCTCAGTATTATTTTAGGGATTTTTCAACTTTCAATGTTTTAACCTTCCTTCCCCCTCCATCCTCCCCCCCCCCTCCATCCCCCTTACGGACTTTCCACAATCCAAAATAGTATTTTCCGTTTCATAATCACAGCACAGTTTCAGAAGGACTTTTGGAAACAAATGGTATTATTGCTCTCCAGCAATGAAATGCTTCATTTTGGTTTAACACTTTAAGAACACCTTAAAGAAACCTTGATGATAATGACGAGGATAAGCTATATATGGAAAGATACGACCACCAGGTTAGAATGTTTACTTAAATTTAACTATATAAGAAAGAACACTTTATCTCGTTCACGTCTCGAATTCACGTTTTTTTACTCGACATCATGATTATTCAATACCATCCGATTGTTTTGCATTATGTTTGCTATAATTAGATGATGTTTCGAAAATTTTAGATGGTTTACATAAAGCCAACTTTATTTACACCACACTCTGCATGCGTTCACAATATCGCCGACAATTGCATGGAAGTTAAATTTAATCCTTTAGGATTAACAAAGCTACTCCTGTTCGAAATGTAATCTATTATTGTACAACTAGTGTGCAAAGATATTGCAAGGTTCATTATTTAAACTTTCCTGTTTTATTTTATTTTACTGATGCCAGTATAAATTTCATATATATTGTGCGTGCATATAAATTAACTTATTTCTTTGTAATTCAAATCACATGCGTTATATTGATGCTTTCAAACATTGCTTGAGGAGATTGATGATGACATCCAAATCAAACTGTGTGCATCAGCCATAAGAAATTGACTTCAAACTGCAGCACTCAAACATATTGACTTTGAATTTCTGATGCATTTTTTCGCAATATTATTATTTACTTGATTTTAATCAAATCTGCAGGTGGTTTGATTATTTCAATACAAACAGTACAATTTCGACGAGCCATTGATATTGGTAAGTACAATACAATGTTTTCTCTTCTATCTTATAGAAATTTTGTGTCTAAAATTGTAGCACATTGTACGTAACATATGGTTGCATGAAGGTCAAAATTTTAATTGGGCAACTATGAAATCAATGAAGTCTCTAAAAATCAACTTCACAAATTAAAATTCAAGATTTGAAAATTTTCTTTACTTATAGAACCCAGTGTAGCACTTTAACCTTTTAGGATTTTTGGCCTATCGTCGTCGTTTTCTGTAATAAAAAAGAAACTATCACTAGAAGGTATTTTGACGTCATCCAAGGTTTAGCCATTAGGGCATGTTTAGCTTATATTAAACATCACGCTCTTTCACGCTGTTTTATTATGTCTTGTTAAGAAAGCAATGAATCGGAATCAGAGTGTTCAGTTAGATAACTCTGACAAAAACTTTATACCGGGATACGTGATAGAAAACTACTGCGTTTGATGAAAATCACCAGCAGAGTATTGTAAGTCTGTATGAGTCAACAGAGTAATGTTTAAGTAATTCATATAATACTTAATTAGACCATATACAAGACAGTACAGCATAGTAAGTACTAAGTACAAGTTGCTAGAACACTTCGCTGGAAAGAGTTAGAATTGATATTTGTCATTGTCACTAAACATTATGAAGGTTGGTAATGTTTAATTGTTTGTACAATAGATAAATCGAGCTCATGTTTAGTTCCGCTTGAATAGATGACAAGGAATATCGTACAACTATACAAGTCAATTTTTGGGCCGTAATGTTTTTAGTTAATATTTCTCAAAATAACAATATTTTCTTAGGATTAGGCCACCGCCTCTTTGCTGATTGCAAAAAATACTTCTGCTTTATCTTTAAAGCAGAAGTATTACCAATGTAAGAAGCTTAAAGCCGTACGCGGAAAGACTCTTCGCAGTGTAAACATTGACATATAGCCAATGTAAGAAGCTTAATGATAAAATATTCACTTTAATCAACTTTACCACACAAAATTTAATTTTCCTTCACTCTCAGAATGAGAGTGAGTCAATCGACAGAATGAAATAAAAAATTGTTAGCAAAACAAGCTGCAATATTTTTCCGACAAAGAGACGAACGCACAAAACGATATGCTTCATCATCTTTTGTATTTCCGACTGTCCACGAAGATAATTATCTCGTGTATAGTGTATGGTCTCATATGGATACTTTTTCGATAGCACAATGTAAGCTGCGTACGCACAAAAACCTTCAGGCGGAAGTTGATTTTTTACTTGGCCATATTAATATGTGCCAACTTTAATAATGGATATTAGAACTGTTTTTATCATTTTCCTGCTTGAATATTCGAATTTTTTCAAAATTCATTAAAATGATAAAACTCGTTCTCGGATAAGAAAAATGCATACAATGTGTTAATGCAGGTTTGGCAACGCACGGATATGTTGAAGCGAATGTTGGGGCTGATGCAAGAAGAAATTGAACGATCTCTAAAATATAAATCGCATATATAAAGTAATCAAAACCTTGTGGACTAAAGGCATAGAAGCTGTTCAAAAAATGACGATGAAATGAAACATATTTTTCACATTTTCCATTTCAGCAGCTCACTTACAATGATAGATTTGACATTTTTCCTGTTAGTCAGTACTTCGTTATCACAAGGTATGAAATCTTAAATAAATCTTTATCTTTTGACATCGAAAGTTTTTTTCTGATGATATCAGCAAAAATTTTATGTATTTTATAATAATATAAAAAAGTCGATGTATTTATTTGATCGAAGGTAAGAATAGCTTTTGCAAAAGAAGCTTTTATTTTTTTGCACTTTTTAAATAAAGTTCCTATTATCTATCTAAGCCAGCTCCTTTGTTTAATAAATTTCATGCGACGTATGTATGCAAGAAAATTTAAAAATTTCTTTAAAGCCTGGAATTTTCTTACGTAGTAAGAACTGAGAGCCGAGAATTTTGTTCGCCTAGTGATTATCGTATGAATGTGAAAACACAAATAAGTTGCAGCTAATGTTTACACTAATTTTGGCTTACATAGCCAGTGAAAAGCAGTCTTACGAAACAAAATAAAACAAAAACTTTTTTTCAATGTTGTATTAAAAAAAAACTTGCTTGATTCCTCTCATTTTTAGTTACAGCGAGTGTCGATTCTAAAGTCTGTAACTTTGAACATGGCCTGGGTACGAATTTATGTCCATGGTACAATGTTGTGGGAGTTGATGATTACAACTGGACTTTCCACAATTCCCTAACGAAAGGTAAGTTATGAAGCACGAGAGCTTTTTGTTTGTGTGCAAGGAAACAAAATATCGAGTTTCGAGATAAGAAACTGATTTGATCTTTTGCAACACTGAGCGAGTTTTTGTAAATAGAGATCAGGATAGCTTGGTAAGGCGAGTATGATTATAAATATTGGTTGTTACTTAATGTAATTTTTGCTTGTAAATTGTGAGGTGCGGACGGTTCTAAGCCCAATTCGAATGTGGATGACTTGGGGTTTAGGTTTGTGAAGCAGCGTGGAGAGTAATGATGACTTTGACTGAAGACTGAGTTCATTATATAAAAGATGACTTTATAATGAGGAAGGCTTCAGTTTTCTTATTATGTCATTGATTTATATGGTATAGAGGCTTTATTGATGAATTAGATGGAGATCGTTTAGTGAGATTTTGTTTTCAAAAATGACTACTCTGATTTTGATTTGAGCTGAAATTCCCTTTGAATTTAAATGATGACATATATCATGAGCAAATTGCAGGCAGTCAACACTCAGATAAGGCTTCTTTTAATTTCTTTAAGAATATTATTGTTTGTTTTGTTTTTCTGTATTGTTTTTAAGTTCTTTAAAGCAAGTGCTTAATATGCATGGCAACGTTAAGAGAGGAGAATGGTAGTTGTGCCATTGAATGAGTCAGCAAAAGACGCAAGATTTTTCACCCATGAATGTTTTAAAATCCGTGGGACAAAGCAGTAATTGCTATTTCCTCTCATCACGACAATGTTCTTGTCATTAAATCTCTTCTTCCACTTAGCATTAAAGTTTTTTGTGATCTCGCACAGGATCGATATTTATGGAATAAATATTGATCTAGTAGCACAGTAGCTTTTTGAATACTAACAAGTTGTACATTCTTGGGAATATCAACATAATTGGCCATTTTTAAGTCTCGTTTGAGAACAATTAGAACTTCCCTCTTACGTTACAGGCTTTCAACTTCTTATTGATCAAAGCAATAGGACTTTGGTCATACTAATCGTAAACATATCTGAAGAAAATTTAAGTGTCGTGGGGTTATATACTTAATTATCATGATGTATCGAATAAAACGACGATTGATACAACATCTACAGCCAGAGCCCTAAAAGTAGCTAGCGACATAACAAAACTTTGAAGTTTTACTTCAATGTAATAAAATTATCTACTGCCATTTGCAAAATCCAAAAGTTAGTATCTTTGAGGAAACAAATTTTTCTTAATTTTTTATGTTCAGAAGCTCTGATTGGTTAAAGCTACAAACAAAAAGCAACCATCGAAATTAGAAGCATTTAATTTTCTGTCCACCCTTGACAAACTGTAAAATTTTCCCCGTCATAAGAATTATAGGGTTCCCGATGGGGGTGATGTAGCCGCCCCTGCTCGTCCTTTTGGGCCACTCCTGAACAACGATAATTTTATATTCATAAATTTATAAAAGAAAACTTGGTGAAATAAATTTTACAATTACACAAAAATCTTACTTATCTTATTGTACAAGGTGTTTTGAACAACATAAATCGATCTCTTTATGAGCATTACTATAATGGTTGATCAAGCAATTTTAAATGAATGACTTATCAACAAATATGCATTCTTTATATATATAGTTTACATATATCTTACATTTCTTAATGTGTTGTAGGAAAATATCTTTTTGCTGACTTAAGACAACGTCCAAAAGGCAAAGTTTGGTTGGTGGGAAATTATCGCAACGACTCTCTCGTGTGTTTTTCATTTTCTTATGAAATGCATCGCTGTTCTTATGGGACATTAAATATCTACCAAGAATATTTTCATAATGGATAGAGTTCCTTACTGTGGTCATTAAGTGGTGATCAAGGAGCTAAGTGGAAAAAAGGCCAAGTCAAAGTTAATTTTACCATGGGTCTATCTAAAGTACGCAACTTACCCATTTTTATGCAACTTAAATTAAACTTTAGCAATTTGTCCAAGCCGCTTACTTTTCTTTATAGTTAATCGTTGAAGTTACCGTGCGTAGATACCCAAGTTACTTTGTAGCTATCGACAATCTTGCTTTTGCTTCAGGAAGCTGCGACACAATACCAAAGGTGGCCATTCCTAACAATGCTTTTGGTAAATATTTGTTTTCTTGGATTGTGAAGTGTTTTGTTTGGGCACTCTTGTTCTTTTTATGTTCTTGGAAATATTCTAACTTTTCATTTGGCTCATAGTTAATTACATAATGACACAAGAAATATTGAATACAATAAATAAATCAACTGTAAACTGTCAATTGTCAATCGATGTTTTGTTTTCAATGATCTATTTTATAGATTGTTCCATTGGTTCATTCTTTTCGTTTGAAAGTAGGAATTGTGAAAAATGTCCCATCTATACATATCAACCATATCCAAAACAAACTCGTTGTCTTCCCTGTAATGATGATAAAGGTACCATCAATGTTGGTGCAGTAAGTGAACAAGAATGCATAAAAGGTAATTTTTGACATTGTGTCACTTCAGTGCTGATAAATCTATATAAGCTTAGTGAGCGTATGTTTACATATTTATATATATACAAAAAGTGTACAACAATGTGCCCTCCCGGCTATCACCGTTGTAAAATCGGGACCACTGCACTTGGGACACAGGAAGTACGGTTACACATTGTATGGATTATCATTAAATTGTTTGGTAAAATTAATGATAGATTTTGTGAACATTAAAGTTATCTGTGTGCCCACGACTTCAGAGACTGGAAATTTTTTTTACACAATTTCGAGTTTTTTTGCTGAAGTTTCAGCAAAGGTTGACAAATTACAAACAAGAAATGTTAATTGATTAAAAAAGTAAAATCATTTCATATTCATAAGTTTGGTGCTTTTAGCTTTTGAACCTGCTGTGAAACATAATGTTGCATAGACTGCATAAAATTTTGTGTAAATTTGCATAAAATGTACGCAATAATTAGCGTAAATCATCTCATTTAACTCAGAATTTTAAATTCTGTCAACATAACAATATGGTAAAGTCTTAACTTACGTTTTTGAGCTAAAAATAAACAAAATTTCAGTAATTCAATCGTTTACACAATTTTTCGTGTTGAAAATACACATATTTCTTTGAGTAAACAATTTGCTCATTTTTGAGTAAACTGTTACACACAAAATCATGTAGAGCAGTGCGTTAAGGTGAAGAGTTGTGCAATTAAGACAAGTTTTACAAAGTTTTGTGATAAATGTAATCAAATTAATTTTTAAGTTAACACATAAAATATATGTTATTTACCGGATGGGAGATCCGTACGGAAAAAATATTTTCACGAGGTCTCAAAAACCCAGTAATCCACAAATGTAATCGATACATGTTATCTTTACTTTGACTAGCGCCGTATATGCTGCATGACGCTGTCAGCTAGTTAGTATTTCGACTATAAATATATTCTTGGTCTCGTGGTATACATATGTAATTGATCTATGTAATTTTCTACACAATAAGGGACTATCTCTGTTTACGTATTTATAAGTGTGTTTTAATAGAAATTTTACTCTAAAACCTGTGTTGCTGTAAATGCATTCTCTGTGTGTATATTTACTAGTAATTTTGTTTAAAACAATTACCCATAAGATGTGTAATTCATTCTTTAACTCAAAATATTGTGTTCAGTGGATACATTGTTATTATGTAAATTTACCAATAGTTGTATGTATTCTGTACACTACTGTTTGTGACACTGTGGATACACATTTTACTGAAATTTTTGTGTATAATTTACACAACATTTTTGCAGTTAAAACCCATCATCTTGTGTGGTGTGTTTTGGCTACCTACAAATGCATTTCAGACTTTTTCTATATTCTATAACAACTAATATGGCTGTTTAACATTCGATTCTTTTTTGTTCAGTCAAAAGATGTGATTTTCAAAAGGGACTAAGAACTACTGAATGTCCATGGCACAACGTAGAAGGTGACGATGACTTTGACTGGAAACTTCGTACATCATACTCATTATTTTATCACCCACCACGCTATGATGCTACAGGCTTCAGTATTGGTAAGATGGCAACGTTTATAGTGAATAAGTGTTGTATGTACAACTGCTTGAATTAAAAAAAGAAAAATGATGAAGAGTATTTAGGATTTTGTCTTTAAATGACAACTCGGATTTTAAATGTCAATCATTAAGTTACATCTTAATAAAATCTAACGTCGTAAATATATTGCTGGATCTAAAAAAGATACTTAAAATTAAAATCAGATGTAGTTTCATTCAGCGAAAAGACACAAAAATAGATGATAATTTTAAAGCTATTATGGTTTTTTAAAAAATTTTGTTTATTGAATTTGTTAAACCACGATAATTTTATATTTCTTTATAAATAAAGTCCACATATATCTTACAATTCTTCATGTGTTGTAGGACGATATCTCTATTCTTTATGTATATGTATAGTCTACATGTATCTTCTATTCGTTCAAGTGTTGTAGGACGATATCCTTATTCTTTTTTATGCAGTCTACATATATCTTACATTTCTTCATGTGTTGTAGGACAATAGCATGGTAAGGCGAGTAAGATGACAAATATTGGTTGTTACTTAATGTAATTACGCTTGTAAATTGTGAGGTGTGGACGGTTCTAAGCCCAATTCGAATGTGGATGACTTGGAGTTTAGTTTTGTGAAGCAAAGTGGAGGGCAATGACGACTTTGACTGAAGACTTAGTTCACTATATCGAACATCACGTTATAATGACGACAGCTTTAGTTTTGGTATGATTTCATTTTTATATAGTAGAGAGGCTTTATTGATGAATTAGATGGAGATCATTTAATGAGATATTGTTTTCAAAAATGACTACTCTGATTTTGAACTGAGCTGAAATTCCTTTTGAATTTAGTTGATGACATGTCACACGAGCAAACTGCAGGCAGTCATCGCTCAGATAAGGCTTCTTTTCAATTTCTTTAAGAATATTATTGTTTGTTTTGTTTTTCTGTATTGTTTTTAAGTTCTTTATAGCAAGTGCTTAATTTGCATGGCAACCTTTAGAGAGGAGATTGGTATTTGTACCATTGAATGAGTCAGGAAAAACCGCAAGATTTTTCACCCATGAATGTTTTAAAATCGGTGGGACAAAGCAGTAATTGCTATTTCCTCTCATCACGACAATTTTCTTGTCATCAAATCTCTTCTTTAACTTAGCATTAACGTTTTTTGTGATCTCGTACAGAATAGATATTTATCAATCTAGTAGCACAGTAGCTTCTTGAATAATAACATGTTGTACATTCCTGGGAATATCGACTTAATTCGCCATTCTTTCAGTCTCATTTGAGAACACTTAGAACTTCTCTCTTACGTTACAGTCTTTCAACTTCTTATAGAACAAAGCAATAGGACTTTGGTCATACTAATCGTAAACATATCTGAAGAAAATTTAAGTGCCGTAGGGATATATACTTAATTGTCATGATGTATCGAATAAAACGACGATTGATACAACATCTTTAGCCAGAGCACTAAAAGTAGCTATCGGCATAGCAAAAGCAAACGTTGAAGTTTGCTTCAACGTAATAAAATTATCTACTGCCGTATGCAAAATCCAAAAGATAGAATCTTTGAGGAAACAAATTTTTCTTAATTTTTTTATGTTCAAAAGCTCTGACTGCTTAAAGCTACAAACAAACAACAACTATCGAAATTGGAAACTTTTAATTTTCTGTCCACCCTTGACAAACTATCAAATTTTCCCCGACTTGAGAATTATAGTGTTCCCCGATGGGGGTGATGTAGCCGCCCCTGCTCGTCCTCTTGCGCCACCCATGAACAACGATAATTTTATATTCATAAATATATAAAAGAAAACTTGGTGAAATAAATTTTATAATTACACAAAAATCTTACTTATCTTAGTGTACAAGGCGTTTTGAACAACATAAATCGATCTCTTTATGAGCATTACTGTAATGGTCGATCAAGCAATCTTAAATAAATGACTTATCAACCAATATGCATTCTTTATGTATATAGTTTACATATATCTTACATTTCTTCATGTGTTGTAGGACGACATCTTACTGCTGGCATAACACGCCTTCCAACAGGCGAAATTTGGTTGGTGGGAAACTATCGAAACGACTCTCTCGTGTGTTTTTCATTTTCGTATTACATTCATTACTATTATAATGGGACATTAAATATCTACCAAGAATTTTTTCATAATGGATACAGTACCTTAATGTGGTTATTAAGTGGTAATCAAGGAATTAAGTGGAAAAAAGGCCAAGTCACAGTTAATTTTACAATGGGTCTATCTAGGGTACGACACTTACGCATATTTATACAACTTAAAATTAAACTTCGGCAATTTGTCCAAGCCACTTTTTCTTAATAGTTAATCGTTAAAGCTGTCGTGCGTAGTAAAACAGCAAAATTTGTAGCTCTCGACAATCTCGCTTTTGCTCCAGGAAGCTGTGACACAATACCAAAGATGGCTATTCCTAACAATGCTTTTCGTAAGTATTTGTTTTCTTGGAGTGTGAAGTGTTTTGATTGGTTACTCTTGTTGTTTTTGTGTTCTTGGAAATTTTCTAACTTTTCATTTGGTTCAAAGTTAGCTTACCTAGTGAAGACATTGCATGCTGTTGATTTTCTTTATCTATTTTATAAAGCAGTAGTTTGAAAATATTTTCTTATGATTTTTTTAATTATTGAATATCAAGAAATATTTGTTTTGATTGCAAAAGTAAGTTTGTGGTTCAAGGGCTTTGCAAGGAGTTCAAAGAGAAGCGCCAACCTTGAAACAGGCAGCAAAATCAATGCTTTCCTCCTGTGAATAAATCCAATAAAAGCTTCACATGAATCTTAGTCTCATTCTCAGGGCCTCTCTTTTGTTAGAGCATCAACGCTCATTCCCAGTTCTTTCGTTTGTTGATCTCAACCTATTTTGCAAGGCCTTAACTATATTGGAACATGAACATTAACCTGTTAACAAACGCAAAGCTGCATGCCTGACTACAAAATGAAGAGTTATACGCAGGCTATGTCACGTTTAACCACTTATTTTTATTTACCTTCATCACGTGAGTAGCTCTCACCAGAATGAGGTTCGAACAAATAATCTCGTAAAATCAATTCAAAAGCCTGGAAAAGCACAGCACTGTATAAATAAAACAAAAATAAAATCATTTTCTCTAACTTCTGAAATAACAATAATTCTTATATACTACCTAATACATCGCTGTTAAATTGCATCGTAAAATTTGTATTGAGGTTAATACAAGAGAGTTGATAAAATAAACGCAATGCTGCTTTTTTATAAATTCCCTATAACGTAAAAGTTACAAAGACAGGCCAATAGCTTACATTCCATATAAAAAAGGTTTTAACGTACATAATTTGCATGTTGTTTATACAGGGTTTATATAAAAAAAAATTGAACAAGCAGAAAAACCTCTCTAAATTCATCAGCGCGCAAGATCTTCAATAACCTTTAGTGAAATAGGTAGTTCGACTTGCAATAACTGGTTCATCTGACAGAAACTTTTGGCAAGTAAAAACGATTTCGTAGGAGAATTGTGTTACCGAAAAATACTTTTGAAAAAACTCGTGCTCGAAAATCAAAAGAATAAAAAGCAATTGGAACAAGAAAGCTTAAAATATGGTACATGATGTTCACCTTTTCAAAGTTTTAGGAAATTATGTATAACCTTATACTAACACTTGGCATTCAAATTGCAGATTATTTAGCGTTTTTTTTATTTGCCATGTTTTGAAACCTTCATGAATTAGTCATATTTGATTTAATTTACCCTCAAATTTATGCATAATTAATAAGGACTACATCAAAATTCCACTTAAAAACGAAAAATTCAAAGCAATTCGCAACTTAAAAGTTATGCATTCGCATACTCATTAGCAAAATTTCCTAAACTTTGTTATCTTTAGAAACATGTGTCATATTGTAACCCTATATCTTCCAATTTCTTTTTACCAATATGATTTTTATGCGCAAGCTATTTCAAATGTGCTACTCTGTAACACAATTTTTACCTTATAAATTTTTCTTATTTGAGACAATTTTACTCTCAGATAACGCTTTGGAAATCCAACTGATAATTTCCACGAAACATTTTCGCAAATCGTATGCCCAAATGACTTAAGTGTCGTTTTCTAAACATTTAAGGGTTTTTTTGACACACCCTGTAGAGTAGAATTACCATTATTCTCGTTTAAATAGCATGCACACTAGGCAGATTTTTTGCACTGCCTACTAATTCTAAAGGCTTTGCAAGCAAAACAGGTAGAAGAATTTTATTTTCTTGTTGCAAACTTTAGTGTTAATAAGTTGTTTGGTAAAATTCATGATAAATTTAGGGCACATTAAAGATGTCTGTGTGTCCATGACTTCGATGACTGGAAATCTTTTAGCACAATTTCAAGTTTTTCTGCTAAACATTCGACAAATGTAGTCAAACAACAAAGAAGAATTGATTAATAATTTTAAAAATAAAATCATTTTTAACTTTAAAAGATTATGATGCTTTTATGATTTAAATTTTGCTGTGGAACATAACGTTGCTTAAAAATCTGTTGTCTTGTGTGGTGTCTTTTTGTTTTATACAAATGCATTTCAGGCTTCTGCTTTATTTTTAACAACTAATATGGCTGTTCAAATTTCGATTTTTTTCCCATTCAGTCGAAAACTGTGATTTTCAAAAAGGACTGGGAACGACTGTTTGTCCATGGCGCAATGTGGAAGGAGACGATGACTTCAAATGGGAACTTGGTACTGCATACTTAACAATTGAAGGCCCAAGTTATGACGCTACTGGTTCAAATTTTGGTAAGATAGAAGTGATTTATAATAAAGCGACGCTAGATTTTAAACTGCTTAACCAGCTGACAGCTTTAGCTGCAATAAGCAAAATGATAGAGGTGATTTAATAAAATTTTGTCTTAAAAAATGACAACTCAGATTTTAAATGCTCGTCATAAATAATTACAAAATAAACACAATGAAATGCGTGCGCTGATTGGTTTAGAGCTGTGTTTGCATTAGCGTGGGAATAACGATCTAAGCTCAACCAATCAAATCAACCAATCCATCAAAAAGAATTTGCAAATGAATCATGAATACACGTTGACGAATATTAAAACGTTATTTTTGTTTTGCATTATTGTTATTTTACAAAAGAAATAAAAGATGTTTTTCGTGTTTGCACTGGCTTATGCAAACTTCGAAGGCTTATGCAAACCGGTGCAAGTCCGAGACTGAAGGTCGAGGGTTGCACCTGCTCGAGAGTTCTCACAAGCGTCTCCGAGGTTTGCATAAGCGTCCAAGATTTGCATAAGTCATTGCAAGCACGAAAAACATCTTTCATTTCTTATGTAAAATAACAATAATGCGAGACGAAAAAACATTTTAATTTTTCCTCTAAAATGTATTCATAATTGATTTTCAATTCTCTTTCGCTGATTTATTGTTATGATTGATTTGATTGGTTGGACTCGGATGTGTTTAGCACAGGCTAATGATTACGCAGCTCTAGACCAATCAGCCCACGCGTTTCAATGTGCTTATTTTATAATTCTTAATTAAAATCTTGTTTATGAAATCTAATGTTACGTATATTTTGCTTGGTCTAAATTAGATAATTAAAGACTTTACAGTTAAAATTAGTTTTAAAATCAATTTCGTTTTTATATTTGGAATTTTTTTATTGAATTTTTAAACTGCGATATATTTGTATTCATAAATTTATGCCAGAAAACTAGGTGAAGTAAATTTTATACTTACACAAAAAATTGCTGTATCTAACTGCACAAAGCGTGCCAAAAGCATCCATCTGATTATGAGCGACCTTATAAGTAATTTTAGATAAATGTTTTATCAATAAATACTCATTCTTTATTTATATAGTCAACATATATGTTATATTTCTTCATTTGTTGTAGGACGATATATTTATTTTTATATATAAAGTCTAGATATATCTTACATTTCTTCATGTGTTGCAGGACGATACCTTCGTTCGGGATCACTTATTCCAGGCAAAGCTTGGTTGGTTGGAGACTATCGAAACGACTCTCTCGTGTGCTTTTCATTTTCGTATTATATTCGCAGTCATAATCATACATTAAATATCTACCAAGAATATTTTCACAATAGTTACAATGTGTTACTGTGGTCATTAAGTGGTAATCAAGGAACTAAGTGGAAAAAAGGCGAAGTCACAGTTAATTTTACCATGGGTCTATCTAAAGTACGCAACTTACACATATTTATACAACTTAAAATTAAACTTTAGCAATTTGTCCAAGCTGCTTACTTTTTCTTTATAGTTAATCGTTGAAGCTGTCGTGCTCAGATACACAAGAAACTTGGTAGCTCTCGACAATCTTGCTTTTGCTTCAGGAAGCTGCGACACAATACCAAAGGTGGCCATTCCTAACAATGCTTTTGGTAAGTATTTGTTTTCTTGGAGTGTGAAGTGTTTTGCTTGGTCACTCTTGTTGTCTTTATGTTCTTGGAAATCTTCTAACTTTTCATTTGGCTCATAGTTAATTACATAATGATACAAGAAATATTGAATACAATAAATAAATCAACTGTAAACTGTCAGTTGCCAATCGATTATTTGTTTTCAATGATCTATTTTATAGATTGTTCCATTGGTTCATTCTTTTCATTTCAAAGTAAGAAATGTGAAAAATGTCCCATCTATACATATCAACGATACACATCATTGTGTATGGGTTTAGGTGTTTTGTGAACAGGAATATATATAGTCCAGTAGATTTATGGTTGAACCTTGAACTAATTCCCACAAAAGCTCACTCTTCAAAAATATCTTTCCTTTCATGTACAGAACAACATATTAAAAGTCCCACATGATCTGAGGCCGGCAACTTTGTAAAATAATGTTTTCTGTGAAATTATGACATGAAAACGAGGCTATAAACAAGAATTACAAAATAACACTGCTTTGACCTAACGAATATCATATTTGATTATATAAATCTGCAGCGTGGCTATTAAAAATCATGTTAAGTCTTCAACGACCGAAAAAAAGGAATCCTTTAGGTTACATAGTAATACAAGAGTGTCACTAAATTTACATATGGTTGATATAGTGTACTTTGATTTACAAAGACATTTCTGTCATTTCATACTTTTGTTAATCATCTTCAACATCAACACCACTGTTAGTGCAACCAGTACCTCTACATTGACCACATGCCATTGTGCAGTGAAGTCCATTTTTACGACAGGTACAAATTGCAGTTGAACAATTTGTGGTAAAGTTGCATCGTATCATATTAAGCAAGTTTTCAGGAGTTGCTGGAAGATCAGTTGTTCTAGGTACGATAACATAACCACACATTTTCCAACCAAATGCATCAATCAACAATCCTTCGTCTTGACTCTGCCATTGCTTAACTTGAAGAAAGACTCTCAATGAATGATACTTGGCTGCACTAGATGTTGGGGGAAGACTTTGGGGCTCTACCATTCGGCCTTTAGTGCACACCTTCTCATAGTACTTCCTGTGGCGCAAACTGTCTAGAGTCTCGCCTTTTTTCCCTCCATACATGCAGACCAAGGCATTTTCACCACTCTGGATAACCGTATTCATGCTGACGTTTGAAACTTCAAATGCTGATGCTTGTTCACGGAAATAGTTTGAATGTGTGAATTTCTTAAGAGGTGCCGATTTTCCAAGGCCAAAGGGCCGGGATGTCGTGTCACAACCAGCAATAGCATGAAGAAACAAAATGTTTTTACACAGAGAGTCACCCAGCTCTGATCTCACTATTCTCATGTTCCATACTCTTTCCGTTCTACGTTTAGTTGTTTTC